TAAATTTGGCAAATTATGAATATTTTGGCAATTTCAGTTTTTATAATAAATTTTTTTGGAGATTTGCGAAATTTTGATGATTTTAAAATATCATAAAAATAATGGTAATATATTAAAATTAAGAAATAACATTAAAATGAAACATTTTTATTTTTTCCTGCCATACTTTAAAGTGATAATACTTTCCGCTTTGAAATATTTTGACTGTGAAAAACAAACAAGATAATAAATGCTATAAAGCACAATTTTTGAAACACTTTGAAAAAACAAAATACTACTACTGCAATTATTTAATAATAAATTAATTATTTATGTTTTTTTTTTTTTTTTTTTTTTTTTTTCTTCTATGATAAGAGTTTTTCCCATGTAATTGTTTCAGAATATTTAAATGTATACCAGTTTTCTTTTGACAATTCATTTAACACTTACTTTTCTAATATTGTTTCCCTGTTAAAAATCTGGTTTTTTGCTCTTACAAAGTTGGTAAGGATAATTTTTCTTTAGAATTTTAGACCTTTCACCTCAGAAGGTTTAAAGGCAAGATTTATAAACCTACAATTTCTAGAAAAATGTGATGAAATGAAAAATGCCTTCATGATATTAACACATAATGGATATGTTTTGTAGGAAATTTGTGATTAATTTCTCATCTTTTGAAGTGAAAACAAAATTATGTGAATCTTCCCTTTGTTTTCTTATATTTCAACTAGACACAAACATTGAAGCAAAGAAATTTAAAACCAACAATTTATTAAAAGATTCATCATGTATGTCTCATCGCACCATATATACCTCAGTGTCTGCCCTAAATCTAAAAATTTTGCTCTAAATTTTGTTGCTCGGTACTTCACTTAAATTCTAAAAATTCTGCCACTCTGGCTCTGGTGCTGGCCGTGACCTTACATCATTTCATATTTACTCTCAGTACTCACATTATTAAAGAAATAAAATTAGCAGTTAATTTTATTCTTGAATTTGTTTTATAATTAAGTTAAATATTAGATTATATTTAATAACGGTGCATCCTACTAAAGGATTTATTTTCTTACAAATTCCAAAGTGAAGTTAGGGTGTAGATAATTGTTTTGGTTTATTCAGTTTCTATTGCTTAATAGGTCCTTAATTTTTTCGGCGATGGTCCTTAAAAGTACTTGCAATTTCTGCATGCAGATGTATGTACAAACCCTGTAATAGGCTGTGGCATCATTCCCAAAGGGATCAAAAACCTTTGGCAATGATTGCACAGAAGATGCAGACCTGTAGAAGATGCTGGCCTAGACATCGAAGTATTACCGCAGCATAGATGATCACTTCCCGTTGCTATGTGCAAGACAACGTAGATCACTAGCAGCACCATAGCTGGCTCTCTGCTGCCACGAAATGGCCCATATCCAACCAAACTATGTCATGTTCACTGCATGAAGGTGGATTGTATGCCCAACGACATGTGGTTTTGTGTTCCTTTGTCTCCATCGCATGTCACAGCACAGTTGAACTGGGCCCGTGAACATCTCAGTTGCACACCAGAGCAGTGGAGCATATACATTTTATGGGTGAGTCTCTATTTAACATCTAGAATGATTCCTGAAGGGTAGTGATGTGGTGAGAGTCGGGGACACGCTCTATTGGGCTCTAAACATAGGTGAAAGAGATCATTACAGAGGAGGAGACTTAATTGTAAGGTCTGGGTTAGCAACAGTTGGCCTCACTGTCTTCTATGTGATTCCTGGCGTTTCCATCACAGCCGTCCAATACCACAATGGAATTCTATAGCCTCTTGTGCATGCTTTCATTGCTGTGATAGTACTAACACAATAGTTCTGAATGAAACCTATGCCCGCAATAGAGCTCAAATAATGCGAGTTATCCAGAGTGTGTAACAATTCTACATCTGCCATGGCCTGCTAGATTTAGAGACATGAATTCCATTGAGCGTGTATGGGAAAATGGATAACAAGTCCCATTGTGCCGCCAGGCATTCTCCATGAGCCTCCAACATGCATTACTGTATGAAAGGGTGCTATTGCCTCAGCAAGCGATAAACACCACTATTGCTAGCTTGTCTCACCGTTATCAAGCATGCATTTTAACTAGAAGGTATCATTACCATTATTAGCATATTTACATTGCACATTCTTCTGACTCATTTGGTCTTTCACAATGTGATGGTCGTAACACATATGTTTTTGTATATCTTTGCATTATTGTTTGCTCTCTGGTCTAGTAACACCACACCAATCTCTTGGATCAATTTCATGCATATCTCTTAAATAGTTTTTGCTATATTCCATTTTTTGCCTTTGTTGCTTATTTTTTTTTTTTAGCAGCAGAGTAGTTTTACTGTAGAAGAAGATCACAACACATCGGAAAGTTTCCATGCTAAAATAGGTATGTGGTTAGCATTTCACAATATATTTCAAGCTGAAGTCATGACATTATGTTACGACATAATTGCTGCCTATGTTGCTCAAGGTCCAGTAACTGTTATGAGAATTTGCAGTTAAAGAATCCTGAGAAGTTGTACAGATCAAAGTGTGAAATTTCAACTGCCCCACTCACCTGTTTTTAAGATGATAGAGATATTGTCCACAATACATAGGTGGATCCAAAAAAAGAGGTTACAAGCATCAGCATTTGAAAAGTAATTATTATGGAGGCACTACTTTATCAAATTTATCTAGCAGCGGTTCGACAGGTAGGTAGAGTAAATTCGCAGACGTATCAGAGCGATTGAAATGGCAAGACGTTTAAAAAAAGTGGTCTCGCTTGGAGGTATGAGCTGTGATTTGTTCTCCTGTTAGAGTATCTGGAGTGTGGCCAAACTGTTACTGCTGATTGTTATTGTGCCACTTGAATAAGGTTACATGAATGTAATATGTGGCATGACAATGCCCAACACCATATTGCTCACCAAATTTAAGAATTGCTGCAAAAGTGGGAAGTCTGGAGTCATCTCCATATAACCCAGATTTAGCACTCTGTGACTATTTTCTTCATCCAAAATTGAAGAAACATTTATCTGGAATGAGGTTCCCTTCAGACAGTGTGAAAATAACCACCAAGAAATGGCTCAGTGGACGGGGAGGTGATTTCTACGAAGCTGGCATAAACAAATTGGTTCTACAGTGAGATAAATGTCTACATAGGTTTAGTGATTATGTGTAAAAATAATGGGCAAGTATACCTCTTAATTCCATTTTCTATTTTCTGTCTATTGTGAATAAATACTTTTATTGCCTTTGTAATCTTCTTTTTTTTTCAGGGGGAGGGGGCAATCCAACCTCATAATATTAGAAACTCTATAGTCGCATTATGTACCCTGGGTTAGGAAACTATATTTTGCACAGCATTAAATATCCAGACATGCAGTACAACATCAGCATTATTTCATCATCCATTGACACCACAGCACAGGAACCAGTGTCTGTAATGATGCATTCAGTAATGTGCAGGAATGGTATCAATGGTATGGCACATTCTCACAAATCCTGCTCTTGCTTACAGCATTATTAGACATTGTGACCCTTATATTATGCATTCCCACACCCAATTGTGATCTAAAGCTTGAGTTTGTAATATCATTGAATTTTACTATACTTACCTAATGTGCATTGCCAGTGTGCTGAACAGCCAACATTGTATCTCTGAAATTTGAGAGCCTGTCATCCTCCCTTTTTTTCAATTCTTGCTTGTGGCCAAGTTACAACAATATGATGCACACTAGTGGCACACCACATTCATCAAATCTTCATGTCCCATTAGGTCACATTTCTTTCTGCCTTGGCCCATTGGTTTTTTCCATTATGTCACCTGTCAGGCACATCTGTTCAATGATTGCTCTTTTGTCTATGCCAGATTAACGCTGGTAATATGTGGAAACAGCATGAACTGACATACCTCAAGCATACATCCAAAGCCTCTTTTTATGTTGAGTATTAATGCAGCAGTTATTGCCAGCCTTGGCAACTACACAAAATACAGATTTATTCATGTTCTGAAATTTTGATCATTCATTCTTGTACTTTGTATTATTTGTCTTGTAAATAACATTTTTATATCTTTAATTCTTCATAATGTTACATTTTAGATGGCTAGCAGTGCATTATAATTGGTAACAAATTTATATATAGTACTAACTGTTACTTGGCATGTGTTGCAGTGCTACTTAAAGAAAAGAGTTTGTGTTTTAACACTGTTAAAAAATTTTTCTCAAATGTTTTCAGTCTTGCTCCCATTGCTCATCTGTTTCATATGAACGGGCTTGAGCAATGCATACTCAAACATTCTGAAGCTCAGGATGTCTTCTTCTTTTGCGCTTGAGGTGTAGATTGAGCAATCAATTTTCGTTTTGGCGGCATAATTTATTTCATTAGGAAAATAATGCTTTGTGATGACTATTACAAATTCACTACAAAGTTACAAATTCAAAAAACAAAGAAAATTTGTGTGATGCAATAGCACGCATGTTAATGCATGAAAAATTAAATATTTATATTATTCTGAACAGTAATGCACCGCAAAATATTTTAATATTTTAATTCGGGCAGTGGCAACACATTTCTCTTAAATAGCCGAATTAGTTTATTAAAGTCAATACAAATTAATATATTGTGTTTTCCCGGGTGGCAACACAATTTTTTATATCTTTAAATTTTCTGATTAAATTCGAAACATATATGTCTTACACTTTGTAGAGTGGCAATGCAGAGCTTTTAAATCTCCGAGTTTTTAATCAAAAATTTGTTAATTTAGTGTAAAATGTATGTATATAAAAAGTGCAGACTCGTGGGTTGGTTTTTGAGAAATCTTATGCAGACAGCGACCTTCCTCTTGTTTTGAAGGTCAAGTGTGGCATGCTTCATCATAAAGATTGGAAGTGAACTGTAGATCTGTATAAAAGAGAAACATTCATTTATATACATATAGATTCATTTAAATTATTATAATGAATTTATTTTATAATTTAAATGTGTTTTTATTGCTTTTAAACTTTTATTTAGCTCGTTCTTGAAAATCCAGATTCAACTGCATCTCAGCTGTATGGAGCTATTCATCTGTTACGACTATTTAGTAAGTTTCTTGTATTCTGTTTTCAGTTATGATTGTGATTTTTCCCCCTCCCCCTGCCATGTAGAAAATGACTTTTCTACCAGAGTATAAAAATTATTGAAAATACTTTGATTCTATTCAAAACTAATTCTGTTACAAATTAACTATCTCTTTACTGAAGAAAAATTAATTTTCAAAGATAAGTATTTCAAGTTATTTTTAATCTTGTAGGTTACATAACTTATGTGCCAAATTTTTTATTTTAAATCATGTAGCTCAAAAAGATTTTTAAGTATTTTAAGTGTAAGGCACATGTTAAATCAAACTATAGACTGACACAATCACTGATTTTCAAGGACTAAATATACATGCTAATTTAATATTTAAACTAAAATCAGCAATCTCCCATGAAAATATAGAATTAAGTATAAACTCTTAAAAAAGCATCCTTTTATATTAAAATGTTTCAGTATTACTGATGTTTCTAATATTACAACTGTTGGTATCCTTATTATCTACAATGGAAGGTATTAAAAAATTAACATTCCAATATTTATATGTATTCATTAAAAATCAATTACAACAGCTAAAATATTAAAACATAGCCTGATGAAATTAATAAAATTTTAGCAGCATAAAATGTTCTATGACACTAATTGATATTAATGAGAGAAAATTGGCTTTGTATTTATGTTCTTGCAGATAAACAGATCTTTCCCAAATTCAGCTATTTCAGTAATTTAGAACAACTATTCATGAACTATGAATATACTATTACTACACTTATATTTAAAAATTTGAAAAACATTATTCAAGGTCTTGGGAGTAGTTTTCAATTAACTGATATACACTTAATATTCTTAATAAAAACATTATTAATACTGGTAAGCATCACGCATAAGAAAAATTTATAAATCTTACCTTGTTTTCTGCAGAAATTTGCACATATGTTTCATAATTAATTGATTTCTTCATTTCAGCCTTAATACGGCGATATGCGGCATTACTTTGAAACAAATATTGTCCACGTGTTTTTCCTTGAATAACAAAAAACCCTACTTGTTGACATCAAGAAAAGAGAAATAATTTCCAAGCATATTATTTAATTTCTCGCAATAGCCATAAATTTCTAAATTCGAAAAATCGATTAATTTCAGCGTACTATCTGCTATCGTCTCCATTGTAAACATAGCACGTGCAGATGTTATTGTTCTTAAACACGTGACCACATTTTTCCTCTTCTTCTCTTGTGTAATGTATCTCATTATATTTAAATTAATTTCTGGGCACGCTTTAAGATTCAGATACCATGAAAGGTATTTGTAGTTATCTATCCTTCCCACGGGTATAGTAAAGATCCTTCCCACTATGCTGCATGTTGAGCATCATTTTTGATGATGTGATAATTAAATAACCTAGAGTTTGACATTCCTGACTATTGATGAAAAGCTTAGTATCTAGCCATAGGAAAGCAAATAGCGTAATATATAAGTCTGAATAAGACAGCTAATCTATGCTGAACTTCAACTATTTCTATAGTCTCAAAAAAAGGCATAGTTATTTATATTATGCCTCCAACTCCTCCCCTTGCAGATGTTAATGTTAATCACTTCGTGTAATGTACCCAAGTAATATTCTGAGTGAGAATTTGACCAATGATTTGGCATTCTCAATTAAAACTTTAGCAAATGCCTGGAAGAATTTTTTTGTTAAAGGGGGAGGCAGGCAGGAGGAAACCGATGAAACATCCAAAAAAATGCATCCAGCATTTTTTTTTTTTTTTTTTTTTTTTTTTATAGTAAACATTTATTTTTGCTTAATTATGATGGAAAAACTAAAATAACTGTCTCAGATTATCAGTTTTAAATCTGCAGTAAGCACTAAAACTGCTATAGTTTTCAATTAAGCCGCTGTATTTACTGCTGTACTGAGACTAGGTTGTTTTTTCCAGTCACATCAATATGTATATTTTAGAAACCCATTTTCAGAGCATGTCATACTGTATGCTGCTCTGTAAAAAATATACTTTATTATATATATTTTTTGCTGTTAAACCTTGTTCTCATATGTGTCTCCAGGTAACAGCAAATAATATATGAAAATAAAAAGTCCATATATGGTCATTTAAAATCACAAAACAGCATTAATTTAAATTCCGGTCAGCCAAGCATGCTTCATGGATAAATTTTTTTTTTTTTTTTTTTTTTTTTTTTTTTTTTTTGTTTTCATTGCTTGTAATGTATGAACTAGTTTTAAAAGAATGTTGCATAGATCCCAACTTTACCAGAAAACTCAATCAAAATGCTTTTCCAATACATCTCCCTGTTTTCAATTTTTAGGCTTTATTAGGAAAATGCCATTTTCTCATGTTAAGTGATTTTTCAGTGTAATTTTTTTATTAAATTTTATCTGAAATGTCTAAATTTACTGTAAACATTTACTGAACTTTGTATGAAGATTTAATCAATTTTTAATCCATTAATATAGGCATTTAGTTTTGTTTTGCATAAGTAAATGGTACATTATTTATTATCCTCATAAGAATATATATATATTAATTTATTTTCATTATATTTAAAAGTACTTTGATAAATAAAAGCTTACCTTCCCAACTCAGAATTTTCTTAGTTATGAAAGTGTAAAAAAATTACGAAATGAAATTGGCAAAAGAATATAAAATTCAGAATATCCAATTAAATATTAATATATTTTACATCAGTTATATTGTAAATAGTTCAATACCCTGTATTACTCCCTGGAACTCTAGGTTTCAGTGTGAGAACCTGCCATTTTTTCACATTTTAAAATCAGCAGCTCTGCATTATAAATAGTTCAATAAGCTAAATTGTGAATTCAAGTCAATTTGATTATTCCTATTCTGATCTGATATGATGGCTTTTCTGATCAAATTTCTTTCGAGACTTACCATTATCAACATACAAATACAAAGAATTTATAAATTGTGTTTTAATAAGTAGCATATACTTCAGTTCTTTTAATGCATTCATTGCCAAGCATAGGTAAGCTAACTTTATGCTGGACTTTTTAAGTTAAAAAGGACAAAAAAATAATAATATTGATTTATAGTTTATAGTTTACAGATATTATGTGGTATATTTATTAGCTGCTCACAGGTAACCATCTTAGCATGAACAAAAATAATATTTCGTAACATTTTGTATGCTATGATAGTCACGGTTGACCAACAAGGTGTAAAGGCTTAGCATAGTATTACCCAATGTAATGATCAAATGGCAGTGAATATGTTAAGTTTCTCTATCTTTTATAAAATATTCATTTTCAACTTGAATATATACTTGAAGGTTAAGTACAGAGCCATGCTTAGGGTTTTCGGCAACCGGGAACAACTGAAGATTTTGCGCCACCTTTTGTGTACCAAGAATGAAAAACATTTCAATCTAAACTTTTGTAATGCCAGTTTGGCACCCCATAGATGCTGTGCCTGGGGACAGATGTCCCTACTTGCCAAACCTTAGCTATGCCACTGGTTAAGTAGTTATCTGACATTGTATTCTGGAATTAGTAAGAGATAAAGAAATTTCATAGAAAATATTACAGGTGTTTGAAAAGCAGTGGCAATATGATTACTTTAAATGGCAAGGCATCTGCAAATTAAGCTGTGTTGATAATTGAATTTATATATATATTTAATAAATATTCTCTATTCATATAAAGCAAAATATAATTAAATTTTAAGATATTATATATAATTAAAAAACTATATATATATATATATATATGTATTAAAATCAATCGGTTGTAATAAATTCAGGAGCAGGAAGCATTGACCAGGACATTAGAGGCAAAAGCAGATTAAATCTTCATTTTTTTATTTTAGCGCAATTATGTTGTGGCCACAATCATGTGGGCACATTAATTGTGCCTATTCCAAAAAGCTTACATTTTAGATAATTTTGCAGTAGAAATCTCAAGTCAGACTGAGTTAGTTTTGGTTCTCAAAGCATTCTGATTGGATGGTTAATACTGCTGTAAAATTATTATTGGCTGTTAAGAGTTTTAGTTCCGTTTACATCATCAGAATTATGTAAGAATCAGATCACATAAATTTTGAAAAGATTGATTTTAATAAAATATGTAGGTGGCGCTGGCGTTTTTGACTACTGACGCCACCTATACAACTTCGTAAATGTGCTAAACAGTTCAGTTGTTGTCGGAGTACTGTTATGTGAGGTTGTCATTGCATTATGTCAGAGTTAACAGACTTCGAACGTGGGCAAATTGTTGGAGCACGTATGGTAGGTGCTTCCGTAAGCAAGGTAGCCGAGGTGTTTAGTGTTTCAAGAGGTACTGTATCGAAGATTTATTCCGCATATTTGAAAAGCGGAAAAACATCATCTGCTAAATCACAGCACGGACGAAAGTGTGTCCTTAGTGAACAGACAATCATTATGGGCAATTGTGACGAAAAATAAGAAGACCACAGCTGCAAAAGTTACTGCTGAAATGAATGTTGTGTTACTGAACCCTGTGATACCAAAACAATTAGAAGGGAGCTTCATGAACAGGGAATTGCTGGCCGTGCTGCAATTGAGAAGCCACTCATCAGTGATGCTAATGCCCGTAACATGAAAAGGTGGTGTTTAAGTCATAAAGCCTGGACTATAGAGCAGTGGAAGCGAGTAATATGGTCTGACGAGTCTTCTTTCACATTGTTTCCCACTTTTGGCCGAGTTTACGTCTGGAGAACGCCATCTCAAGCCTATAATACAGACTGCTTGTTGCCAAGAGTGAAACATGGCGGGGGTTCTGTTATGGTTTGGGAGCCATATCGTGGTTCTCTGCTAGCCCCATGATAACTGTGTCAGGGCACATGACTGTCAAGACTTATGTGAACATTTTGGGCCGATCAAGTTCATCCCATGGTACAAACTTTGTTCCCCCCGATGGTGATGGTGTCTTCCAGACGACAAAGCCCCTGTTCACACAGCTCACATTGTCCAGGACTGGTTTTCTGAGCACGAGGATGAGTTTTGTCCCATCTCCCTGGCCACCACAGTCACCAAAACCTGAATATTATCGAACCTTTGTGGTCTACATTGGAACGGAAAGTGCGTTCTCGTTATCCACCGCCAACATAGTTATCTGAACTTGCCACCGTTTTGCAGGAAGAATGATATAATATTCCCTTGGCAAACAAACAGGAACTGTATTTATCCATTCCAAGAAGACTGCAAGCTGTTTTGGATGCCAACGGGTTTCCTACACCATATTAAGCAAAGAAACATGTTTTTTTAAAGGTGTTTCCATATTTTTGTCCAACCCCTGTATATGTGTGTGTGTGTGTAGGAATTTTTGTTGCATTAAACAAATGTATACACAACATTTCAAGCAATTCATCTTTTCTTCAAATGTTATAACTTTTCTATACTTCAGAGTAATTCCAAGCAGTAGAGGAAAATAAGCCGTCATATGAGACCCATGATATTTTTCAAGGTTTGCAGTTTAGTACTTAACATGATAAAAAAATAATAGATTTATAGTAGGTATTTTATGTTTAATTTGTTGCATTGGTGAACAGTTCATATACAAGTATTGATCATCATATTGTATTTTAAGCCAATATACTTCCTCCATTTAAATTAATCATTTTGCAATCGTAACAGCTGAATTATTATAACAGCACAATTCCTGTACTGTGGATAATGTAGTTTTTGTGATGTTTATTTGTAATATTTTGGCATATTTAAATTTTGTATAGTAAATTTATATTTAATTATAAAATGGCAAAGTATAAATTGACTAGTACTGTCAAAAGTCATTAATCCGGACTCGTCGGGACTTCGATTCCGGATTATAGATCATCAGTTTAAATCTGGTAAGATGGCATGCAGAAATTATAAAATTAAAAATATGAAACCATAATTTATGAAATAAAGAACAATTATGATCTAAAGGGTATAAAATTAACAAAAAAAAAAAAAGCTTAATATTTATTTGTTTACTTTATTAAACATTTCTTTCAATGTAAGGTTTTTAAGTTGCTTCCTTTTATGTGATAATACTTTCTCTTTGATTCTATAAACAGACATAATTTCTTGTTCAGTTACAAAGCTCCGCTGTTCAAGTCCTATAATTGCTGTGTCGAGAATACCGACTAATTTGTCAATCAAAAATTTTTTCGTTGTTAATAATCTCTGTGTAACTTTCTTCACTATAGGAAGCAAATTATAATGACGAGGAGTTTGATTTAAATCATATCAAAGATGGAATACATCGAGATGAAATACTACATTTAGTAAGGAATTATAAGCCAAATAAAATGAAAACATCTGCCCTGAAGATAAGGATAGTGCTGACAGATCAACTTCCAATTCATTGCGCGCCATGACGTCCCCCCCCTTCCCCGCAGAGCAGCGTGAAATTGATAAACAGATTTTGGAATGGTTAGAGAAAGAAAGGATATGCCTTTATCCATTTTTTGCAGCAATCCCACTTTTGTTTAATGGACTTTGAAACGTACTTTCGCTTTGTAGATCCTTTACATATTAGTAAATATATATCGGAAATTCTATTTAGATCCTTTACATATTAGTAAATATATATCGGAAATTCTATTTGACATAATCGAAAGTTCAAGCTTACTTTTATAAAATTGCTCTAACAGTCTGCAAAAAATAATAAACCGGATCCAATTTGAAGATTAAGGAACAATGCAATCTGCAACATTAACTGAATTAGATAATTTTAGCTTGGCTTATACTGTCCGTTATACATTAAACGCGCATGCGTAAACGTATCTTGCACATTCGCCGCCATAAAGGTCTTACTCGCATGCGTAAATGCCTATGCGCATGCGTCAACGCAGAAAGTTTGTAGCTTTGAGGTCTGGATTATAGATCATTCCGGATTATGGGTGTCTGAATTAACGACTCTTGACTGTATATAGATACATTTATTATCAGTAATTTTAAACACTACTTTACTTTTAATTTATGATTATATTTTTCATAAATTGAAATGAGGAATGAAGTAGTTGAAAGAAATAATAACTGTATGTAACTGTTCAATCTGATACGAAGAAATTTTAATAACAAATTATTCAACTTTCATCTTAATATTTACAATTTTTTCATTTCTAGCAAAACTAGGTGGTGCTCTTGCATATACAGTTTTGGATGAAGATAGTGTAAATTTACTGACAAATCATCTATATGACTTTTTAAAGTAAGTATTTGTTAAAATTAAAAAGTGTAAGAAGCATATCCATATTTAATTTATAAATATTTTATGGTAGCTTTCACTGTGTTTCATTTAAGTAATAATTTATTTGTATTTGATTCAATGTTTATGAAAGATTAGTGACATTAAGCTGCAAATTCCATTAGCTTAATATAATTCAGCTGTCCTGGTTATCTTGTAATGGTCATTTTTTCTCATTATATAGTATAGTCTCTTTGCATGTTAATTGTATGAGTAATAAGTACAGGATGATTGTAATTAAAGTTGCAATTTCAAAATGCTCAAGCTTTAAAACTACTGGTCAGAATTTTACCAGAACAGTCATGAGGTGATGGAATTTTGTTTCGCGAAGGAAAAAAAATAGTTCCAAAATGTGCTGATGGATTGTGCTGTCAGGGAAAATGCCTAAATGTATTCGTTAAACACAGGAATGTCGTTATCCAGAAGGAAACAATAGACTCCAAGGGTTTACAAAAAAATTGTCGAAAAGACAAGAATGCATGTTTACAGCGAAAACAGTGATGGTGACAAGAGAAAGAGAAGAGTTTCATGAAACAAACACCTTACAGAATGATTAGCGCATAGGTTGTTCGATGTTCCCTTTGTCCACTACTATACTTGTACCACAGGAAGCGCAAAATGGCATATTCAGCAACAGATCAGAGGGTATCTGTATGGATGCTATGAATGTAGTGTGTGATGCTTGCCTTCAAGTCGTCTAGATTTGCAATCTTCCTGCTGTAAACAACATTCTTCAGGTATCTCCAAAGCCAAAAATCACATCTGTTTATGTCAGGGGAATGTGGCAGCGAAACTGTTGGAAAATGGTAGCTTATAATTCTGTCATCTCCAAAATGAGCTATCAGCAGCTACTTCACACAAGTAGCAATGTGCAGAGGAGTGCCATCTTGCATGAATACGCATTGTTTGATCCACAGACTGATGCAGCTGAAGTGCCAGAAGACATGATTAGGCAAAAGTGCTTCATATGACTTACCAGTAACTTACCCTCCGAGGTATGATGCAAAGAACTCTGTGAAGCTACTGGCTAGGATCTGAACCTAGGCAGTCTTGGCCACGGGGACACATAATCATTGAACTTTGAGGTTCCACTTGCCCAGTAGGAGATACCTTGAGACGAAACTTCATTGGCCTGCCTGGGTGGGTCGATGCAAGTCACAGAGCAGTTGGTTCTGTAGCTTGCTAGGTAATGTCCTGCTGCGAACTGCAGCCCATGTAGTACTGGCAGGCAGCATCTTTGATGACCATTCAGATCTCCAAGCTTAATACATTGAAGTAGTAGCAGAGAGACAACTGCTCACACCTTAACTGGAACAAACATTCAAAAGGTAATCAATAATTATATTCTAAATATTAATTGTCTAATTTAAATTCTTATTCGTAGCTCGGGCATCCGGGCAGGGATGCCAAAAAATGTTGTATCTCTCAATGGAATTCTAAAAGGTAAAAAGAAATCTCTTACCTTTTCTTTCACCCGGGAGCCGAGCTTGTTCCATTCTAAATTCTTATTCGAAGCTTTTGCATAAAGACTGACACTTCTGTGCAATATAAACAGATTATATTTAGATACATTTATACATTTTATGTACAATTATTAGGTTACATGAAAATTACGCGCTCTCCATCTAACAGTCATTTGATGGTGCTGATAGTCCGGAGTTTAGGTGTGGTGGTGCTGATAGTCCGGAGTTTAGATGTAACAGAGACTGTGGATTATCGTATCGCTCAACTGCTACTCGAGTTAGTCAAGATCAAATGACTTTTCTGAAACTCCTGAATTGATATCCAAAAGAGATCCAACCAGACTCGCTGGTACCTCATCGGTCTCTACCTCATCAATACCCAAGATGAAAATCTTCTTGTCCCCATCGCTGTTAGGAATCGTGCAGCAACATCATTTATCCGGATCAGGAAATTAGCTGTATTTCACAACTATAAGCATTTGTTCATGTGGATGCGACTATATCTTCAACTCCCCGGATTGTCAGCAAGGTGATCCTTGCTTCGGCTTTCCTTGGCACTACTTTAACATTTGTGATAGTCAACATAAACTTTGTACAGGAGATGTTTTAACTGCACCAGAAGATATACGCAGGGCCTGATGATGAACAGGATCTAATTTTATTAACATGGAAGGCCTTGCAGACCCATAAACAACTGAGAGATAATCTAGTTTGGAGCATATAAGTGCTCTATAGATAGTGCCTGGTCGCAGTGATACCTTAGAACCAGCAGGTAGCCATGGCCATTGATAGACAAAATTTTAAAGTCTGCCAATCTGAGTTGGAACCCTGGTGTGGTAGCATAGTTCCTTTCCAAGTCTCAAGGGACTTTTGATTGGCACACCCCTTGCCTGATATGGGGGTTCTCAGCTGGGACCAATTCGTCTAATGCTTTAGATGGGGTACATATACAATTATTATTATTACTAGTAACTTTACATGTAGCAGTACCCATAGGTGTGATCTACACGAAGAACAGACCGATGATAAACGCTGCCATTATTCTGCATTACATAGTGACCTTTTCAGTCTGAAGAGGTAATGGCTGTAGCAGGAATGGATTCTTGGTCACCTATATCCTGCAATTTTGCATATTTACAGAACCTTAAAAGTGGAAATGGGCTACGTCAGACCACAGAGTAGCCATCCAGCAAGAAATAGTAATGCAAACAATTCACGTGTTTCCAGGTCAACACATGAATTATCTTGTACAGATAACAGCACAAGATGTCTCGTAGGACTTTACATACAGTGCTGATAGGCATGTCCAACATTATTCCAATTCCTCATGCACTGCTGATTCCCGTATCATCATTCTCTTAATCATGTGGCCACAACTTCCACTGCAGCTGCCTGTACTAGTTTTCATCCTCTGGCTCATTTAATGTCAAATAAGCCTGTTTCTTTGAATTTATCGATCATTTTCTGCTGGCCATATGTGGTCATTGGGCCGTATTGTTTGATGTGCGGACCTCCTGATAGCTGTTAACACACAGTCACCGTTCTGGTAGAGAAGCTTCACAAGCAAAGTGTGAACCTTCTTTGTCAGATTCATGATGAAGCACTAAGGCAGAGTGTTATATGTTCCACTAGTGCTCTCCATTTTTATCACATCTATATCTGCGGTACATGTCACGTTTTGATAATTTGCATACTTTCACAACAGTAGCTTGAACTCAAACAGTGCTATCTATTGCACATTTTGTAACTTTTTTTCTTTTTTTAATTTAAAATACATTTTCATCAACTACTAAGTCTTCTGTATTAAATTTTTAACTCTTTTATGAATTTCTCCTTATGCCACTTGCCACTTATGGTTACAGCTGGTCCCATAACCACATTACCTCATTCATTACTTGTCTTATAACATGCAGTTTTAACCACATTAGCAGCCAGTTGAAGTCTGGTTTGAATAGAAATGTATAAGCTATGATTGGCAGACATAGTATATATATATATATTTTTTTTAATAGCTCAGAAGGTTGTACCAAAGGCAGAATTTACTCAGTGTAATCTTCTGTAGCAAGTTCTAACTGTCAAGAAATCTGCAAAGCTACAAAAATAATATTGACAAAAGTTTTGAAGAATATTAACATGAAATTAATAGTAGGTTTTTACAGATTATTGGAAATCATGCAAAAATATGTAATGATCATAAATATCTTTTCCTGTACGACTTATGGTAAGGTTGGGATTGTAAATGATTAATGATTAAAGTAAAAGCATGTAACAGCTGTACAATCATTGCTCTTAAAAATAAATAATTGCAGTGTTGCGACAGTTTGCAGTACTAGAAGTATACAACACATCAAGTTGTTACAAAATAAGCTAAAGTATTTCAAATTTCTACAGAAAGAGAAATTTAATAAGTTTTGCATATATTCTGAATCTCTCTGAGAAAAAATTCCTATTCTGTTGTTATTCCAATTTTATGTCAAAGTTGGTAATGATAGCTTTTGATAAGTAAAATGGCTGAGCCCTGTGTGACAGTAGTATTATTATTTTTTAAAAAAAGGACTAAGAATAATTAAAAAATCTCAGTGCACACTCACTGAAGCGTCTTAGAAATATAAAAAAAAGAGGAATTTTAAATTAAATACTAATTACTGTGGTAATTTCAAATTGAAAACTTAATAACTTCTAGATTATTTTGGATGCAAGATGTGATTAATTATTAAAATTTTCTGCTGTGGAAATTTCAAAATATTCTGTTCCAAACAGCTACTCTTTTAATGTGCTGAAATTGTGTGTTGCTATTAAAACAGGGTGTTATGGTAGTTTGTCAAAAGTAGATTTTTTACTTTATTTATTTACTTATTAGCATTTTTGCATTTCGTTACAAATGAATATTGTATGTAAAAATGTTACATATGAGCATATAGTAAATTTTGTGTATTTTATGATATAAAATACCACCATTTTCAGTGTACAGACTCTGCTCTGCTGGTATAATTTTGCATTATAAGGATTTTATTATGTATAATAGTTAGGAACTAATTATTATCTATTAATTTTTAACCCTATGAATATTACTTTTTTCTCCTAGATATCTGTCCAAATGCCAGCCAGCTTTATTTAGTCTAAGTGATTATATTGCAGCAACACCTGAGTATTTAAAAAAGATAACTTGAATTTAATATCATTCAAGAAAAATATGGTGAACATGACTTTACAAAAAAGACTACAGTGGAGCATGTGTTTTATAGCATTTAAATAAATTTTCCATAATTTTCCAAAAAAGACAACACTGGACCATGTGTATTATATATACCATTTAAATAAATTTTCTTTTCATTTTACCACAAAGTGTTCATATTGTATGATATTCATATTTGTAAAATAAAGTTTTTTCATCTTCTGAAAAGAACAAATTATTGATTTGAAATTATGTTATGTATATTTTTATTTGTTAACTGTGATTTGTAAAGCTCCTCTATCTTGAATTTGCTGATTTTTTTCCCTCATATGAAAAAAATTGTATTTATAACTTCAGTGTATCTTTACTAACTTGAACACCAACAGAATGAAGCAAGGCTGGCACCATGTATCTAAATAGGCATATTATGTATCACCAGGCCTTGCTAACAACTAAGCTTCGATGAAATTCCAAGAGGAAATACCTTGAGGGTCTTCCATCTCTCTTCTACCACCAACCTTTCAAGAAGATTTCAATTTACTGTCTGTTTTGAGTGCCCTTTGCCACACGGACACTATATGCTTCATTGGGACATACCTTCCATACCAAATGTACTTTCTTTTTGATTTGAACTAAGGCACTTCAATACAGCTGTCAATCTCTAATCACTTTCCTATCTGGCCAATATTAACTTGAAAAATTGAAATTAACTTTTAGAAAATGTCAGAAATCACTTCTGTGGTGCAAACTGCAAAATATTCATCAAATAATATTCTTTCACAGTCCTCGGCAAGAATGACTTAATTTCTGCTATTCATCAAATAAACCATTCAAGATTTTTAAATTATGAACTTTTTGAAATATATATAGTACCTTGAATATCTTCTGAATAATAATATGCTTTTCAGAAATCTAGTGAAAGAAAAAAAAAAAAAAAAAAAAAAAAACAGAGCTACATTCAATATAGAGCCAATGTCTACCAACCTGAAAATATTACAACTAAAATGGTTAAAATTTGAAATATGTGCAAAACTGTTTACAGTATCTTTATTATGCTCACTAGTTAATAAAATAATCTGCTTATTACATTCAAATTTTACAGAACCAAAACAAATGTATATTGCAAAATAAAACCATATAGTAGATAATACGAGCAAATGCAAAGCTAAACCATACAGTAAAAAAATTTATGCCTTTATGCAATTATTTTGTCATTTATGGATCTCACTTTAACAGCTTTTAAAACTCATTGGCCTATGGCTGATTCTTTGGTCCCAGAATATCCTACTTATACCTATGAAAGATTTTTGTAGTTCATCAATTTAACATATTATGGACCGTGGCTGACTGTGTGGGACAAATTTTCTTACCCCCCTTCCCTGGCCCTGTACCTGTGAGACAATGTTTTCACATTTCTTTGTCTATATTGGATTTCAGAAAGTCAAAATTTCCTAAAGGTTTACAAAAGCAATATTCTAGAAGTGCTGTTAGTGAGTGAATGTCCCTTCTGGAATACGAGCTGATAGGTGGAAATGCAACTTCCATATCCCAGATTTTAAGGTTTCCACATTCAAAATCTTCCTTTTGGGATAGACACGTTAGGTTCACAGAGGGTTGTAAGATAATTTCACGAAATGCTTCTCGGAATTATTGTACATTAACAGTGTTTGAGGAAAGGGACATGGTAAGTCTAAGCTGTAGAAAAAGCATTGATCATGCTTATAATCATAAAATAGCAGATTGCCTAAACAACAGGCAATCCTTCTGCTACGTGAGTTTTGAAAGTTTATCAAATCATTAGAAAAAGCATTTTTTATTTTTTATTATTTTTTTATTTTTATTTTATTTATTTATTTATTTTTTATTTTTTTTTTTTTTAATTTATTTGTGTGTAATATTAAACTTCTAACAAGTTGAAAATGCCAAGCGAAAAGACTTAAGCCTGAAAGAAGGATAAATTGTTAAAAGATTTTGATGTTCTTCATAACTGCAGTCAGAGAAAAACTGCATTTAAATGGGGAATTTCCCATACAGTATTGTGCAATTTACTTAAACAAGGAGTAATAGTTAACAAAGATCCAGAGAAATGCAAACCTCTCATGAAAGCACAAAAATGATAGAAAATCATCAAGAGATGTTAAAACTACTTTTGTAGAATGGTTTCAAGCTATAAAGTGTTTCTATATCTACAGCCCTTTCATTCATTTGCTAAATGCTAGGAAAGCATTTTGTATTATGAGTTGCAAAAAGAGAAATCCAATGCTGTTCATCAGAAAGTGCATGGTAAGAGGGAACAAAGAGGTAGATCATGTTATGGCTGAAACTGGGTGAAAGTTGTTTTACTTGGCCTGCTAATTGAGTACAAGCCATTCAAAATTTATAATGCAGATAAAATTGAATTGCATTATAGAATATTGCAAGAACACACATTAATATTTAAAAGTGAAACAGCAGTTGCTTTAAGAAATTGAATGAATGAGTTAACTGTTTTCTTAGCATGCAATATGGACTCAACAATTAAGAAGACAGCACTGGTTATTGAGAAAACCTTAATGTTTAAAAAAAGTACAAAAATTACTTACCATAATGACAAGAGCTCCTGGGTGACAAACAATATTTTTACTGATTTTCTTTCGAAAAAGGATAGCAAGCTGAAAAATGAAAAAAATTCTCAATTAATTTAATTAGATAACTTATGAGACAATGCATGTAAAAACTAACCATGGAAGTGTTAAAGTAACCAAATACTGAGAGTGAATGTGATAGCATGCAAGCATGAATCAAATCTAGAAAAGCACTACAAATTCTAAAAAAAATTCTCTGATACATGTCTGTCATTCCTAAAGGAAACAAACCGTTGGATGGGTTGAGAAAAGCCTCCTTGCACAGGCATAGGTCTTAACCTGTAGAAAGGACAAACAGTTTACAAAAGTTGGTTTGAGTACTGTAAAATTTCTCGTATCTGGAAGCACCAATAGTGATCACCATGGTCATCCCACTGTAGCTAGTGATTTGGCAAAGGTTGTTTTAACCAACCACTGTTTACAACAGCATGGGAAAAGGAGCTATAGTTTATTTTGCTTTTGTATTCTGAGTTTGAACAGTCCTTATGTCCTGAAATACTAAAATAATTCATACATGGGGCAATTATCTCCCACAGAAAAGAGCATCTGTGGCCCTTTTTGGAACAATTAAATATGAGGAATGAAAATAGTCATTGATATAGAATCTTAACATTTGTGCTCAGCTTTTAAATCAATGCTTAGATTCTCTAGGTCATTTTCGCTCTCTGTTACACATTCTGTTTGATAGCTCTAACTATATCAGAGGTAAATAGTGGTTCGAAGTTTGTGACTCGCCTACATTTCTCTTCTACATTTTCTTTCACACTGTCATTCTGTTTCTAGCATTTTCTCAAATTTCATTAATGAGAATTTAGCTATTTTGCCTTTTTTAATTGATGTGCTGGGAAAAGAATATCTTTTTGTTATCCCTTGAAATAGTACTTTATATACAGTGCGTACGTAAAGTCGTGGTGCACTTTTGTTCGGTTACAGGAAACCAACCAAACAAGATAGAAATATGAAATCTTCACCAAACAAAAGGAAAACTCTTAAAGTTTCCGTAGTATTATGTGCAAGTATGTGCACACACAGTTGATGACGCAGTACCGCGAAATGCGAAGGAGCAGATCAGCCCATCCGTGGCCATGCCAGTCGAGGTGTGGACCATACAGAGGAATGTTCAGTGTGTTTTGTGTCTTGCCAAATTCGTGACCAAAGTGCAACGTGAATATCGTCGCGTCAACAACAAACTGCCACCACGTAGAAATAACATTAATCGGTGGGATAAGCAGTTGAAGGATACCAGCAGTTTGTTGGATAAACCCCATTTTGGCAGGCCATTGGTCAGTAACGAGTCTGTAGAGGCTATATGGACGATTTACCTAAGAAGCTCTTACAAATTGCAGCTGTTGCACGCGATCAAACCAAACGATTTGTGTTTGCTACAGATATGCTTCATGAGGACGAGCATGAAAACCGATTTCTGCAAAAGATTGTGTTTAGCGATGAAGCGATATTCCCTGTTAGTGGACGTGTTCATTGCCATAACATCCGAATATGGGTTGCTGAAAATCCTCATGCCCACGTAGAGTACAAATGTAACAGCCCTAAAGTGAACGTGTGGTGTGGCCTGGTGCATGATAAAGTGATAGGAACATTTTTCTTTGTGGAATAGGCTGTGACGAAATGGATGGAACGCACATGAAACTGCACTGAATAGGTATGAAACTTTAAGAGTTCCTTTGTTTGATGAAGATTTCGCATTTCTATTCTTTGACCGATCAAAGTGACTTTACGGACATACTATATTATATTCAGTTAGAGTCTGGTTCTTGTCTTCCTTCTACACCCTATATAATTATGCACATTTTTTGCTGCATATTATTTAAGCTTATTTCCTTGAATTTCATTTGAGATACATTTCTCATTCACCTAATTCAGTTCTCACGTTGCGGGAAGGCAAAAATACATAAAACTGAAAACATCTTCATTAAAACTCGAAAAATATACAAAACATAAAATACCAAGTACAATTAAAACGGTAATGTTTTCTACAATCAAAACTAGAGTTTCTGTGCAAAAACAAGCCAGCAGGCAAAAAGGCAGATTATTTCAGTGCAAAAAACTGAAAGTTTGCTTCTGGTCCCACTTGGCAAAAAGAAACTGATGTAATTCACTTTTCTGTTAAGTTTCAAATGTAAACAAATATTGCTGCTCTATTAGGCTTAGTCGCAGTTAAACAACTTTTTAATTTTTTTTTAGAAGTAATAAAAATCAGTGTTATGTTTCCAAATGTTCCAGGGCTAATTTTGATGGTTTAATTACTGAACCAGCTTTCTCAGCTGTCAAAGTGCAAATGATTTTTATTGTATGACTTTTAAAATAGTAGTCATTTGTCATGTAGTTTTAGCCAAAACTTTTAAATTGTTGATAATTCTACAACTATTGCATGCAGGCATAAATACCTTAACCAGAGCATAAGAACAATATAATTCAATCACTTTTAAAGCAAAAAGTTCACAATTTACCAACATATAAGAATAAAAAGAAAAGAAGAAAAAAGCTCACCCAGACAAGCAACAGAGTGGATATATATCAACAATTTTCAGCTGGTATGCAAAGAAACAAAATATTTTTAACTATTAAATTCAAGAACTAAATACCTCGACATCATGTTT